TGTGAAAACTGTTGTCATGGTGCATTAGCATAAATCACTTCCCCTTCTGGATGATGTTTCCCACGATTAAGGGCCAAACTGTATATGTGCCACGGAGGAGATGAAGTGGGATGGAGGAGAGAGATTTGTATAATTAAAACTATGGACGTCTTTCCCAAAATGAAAAGGCTATATTATCTAGACGTTGCACACGTGCTAACTAGGATATGTAAATGCTGGGAGAAGGAATCACATGAATCCCTATAAAATTCCACCTAGGTATATTCACAGGACTCCATGTCACTTGGAGAAAGCCTCAGAAGGTGACAAGCAATAAGGTGTACAGATAAGAGGCAAACAGTGCTTTAGGTCAGCAGTCCTCTATCCATGTTCCAGGGAGAAAACTTCCCTGGATGTATAGTGTGGTGTTGCAAATTGCTCAGCATGGAAAGATTCTCACATCCAGATCTGAGCCTGTGACTACTGACCTTCTCATTCTTGGGCCCTATCTCTAATGAAGCACTTAGATAGGTCTGTAAAGTGGATGGCGATACGCAAAGCTTTCTATTGTTTACCATCAGTAAACAATAATACAGAGGTTAACCTTTAAAATGAACTGCAGTTTAATTCCTCCTGTATAGGTTTAGGGTTGTTGCAGCTCCCAATTAATCTGATTGTTATACCAGTTTTCCTCAATCTGGTACTCTCCCGGTAAATTAAGGCACAGTCCCAAAATACATGGCAGGCAAGGCAAGGATCAGAGGCCTACAAAGAGGAAGGTGCAGCTGGAAGCAACGCCTAAAATCTCTCTCCCGCGTTTTCCCCAATAAGAGAAAGAGAGAGAACAAGCGAGAATGTTGAGGCACGAGGCATTCCCTGTAAGAAAGGGATAACCTACTACTTTGGATGGAGTCACATGGCAGATGTTACTCTTTCCACAAGCCTTTCCAGTAGTGGTAAGATTCTTTTAATTTACAAAGGAATAATACCAGACAAGTGGGCTTTGCATGAGGAGAGAAATATTCTCTATCTAAATATTGATGACTGTAATAGCAATGCTTTATGTGTTTTGAAAAGTAACTAGGATCAAGCTATCTTCTGATTTCATGGCATTTCATCACAATGATTCATTTTCATGCCTGAAGCTAATTATCCTGGAAAATCATTTGATAGGGAAGTGCTGCTTTCCCCCCAAATTTTAAGCAAATATAAATTCATATAGATAGAATTCTAGGAGGCAAGGCATTGTGCTGGTTTGAAGGGCTATGTTCCAAACATCTTCTTTTACAACTGCTTTTTAGTGGCAGATAGGCATTCTGGGGGATATATAAAGTAATGCTGAAATGCAAAGACTTAACCTCCTTTCTCAGAATAAGATCACCAGTGCAATCCTTACCAGCTAAGTTCAGTGATCCTCAACTCATTGAAGGTATGATAGGATTGCTGCCCGATTATTCACACCCACACTGCAATTAATTTTTTCCCATGCTGTAATTCATAAAAGAAACTGGATTTTCCTCACCTGCTAAATGAATAAACAAACCAACATCACCTGCTGGAGCAGGAAGGATGCCTGTGTGCTCTATTTTCTCATGCAGTTCTTCTCCTGATTCTTCTCCATATGAGCTGCGGAGGCTACGAAAGATTTCCCATGTAGGCTTCTGTCAGTCGAGGTTAATGGTTTTGAAATAACAATTATCACAAGGCCAAAGAAGGCTAAACAGCTCTGAACGTGCTATTCCTCAATCTGTTGGGCAATGAATCCATCTGGTCAAGTTCATGCTAGAGGATGGCAGAAGGAACAGTCATCTGACTTTGGGGAAAAACCCAAAAACCTAACACAGAAGCATGTTGTCTTTAAAAACAACAGTAACACCACCCTGTTCAAGCAGCAATATGATGAGAAAAAGCTTTCCACTGAACTTCCAGCCTGGTTTCACTCGTCTCCATTTGTGGATAACGGCCCTGAGATTTCACATGAGGACTGGAAACAACTACTAGTTCCTGCTCCGAACCAGAACACGTGCTTTTGAGGATAAGAAAAAGTCTGGAAACCAAGTTTTGCGAGGAAAGGTTGGAGGAGCCTGCTATAGGCTGCTATTAGCTTGGGGGAACTGACCATTAAGTGGGGATGTGGCTGTCTTGCAATACTTGTTTTTTTAATTGATTTTTTTTATTTTAAAATTTATTTATTTAAAATAATATCAGACCAAAAAAATAATTACAATGCAAATACATACATTCTCAAAAAAAGAAACAACACACAAAGAGTGCTTTAAAAAAAGAGTGAGAAAAGAAAAAAACAAAGTACAGTGTATTATTACAATTGTTACAATTCTATATATACTTGTCTAGTGTAAATATAATTCAAGTATGTATATATTTATTTCTAATATGTGTAAATAACTATCATTCGTTTTTAACCTACTGTATTCTGTATAAATGAGTCCCCTGTTTCATTATACTTGTCCATACAAAGGCTACATCTACTGTATAGGCAATCCACTCACAATGGCAAGTGTAATCAGGTCTTCAGTCCATTGAGTGAAGGGGGCCATACATTTATCTTTCCAATGCTGCAATATCAGGCTTTTGGCCATAGTAAGGACATCTTGCAAAACTTGTTATATACATGACAGAGCAAATTTGTTTAGAAACTAACACAGATAGGTTCACCCCAGCCTAAAGTTATCGATCATTTGTTCTTTCACCTGGCAGTCATATATCTACCACTAAGGTGTAGGACAGGTTGGAAGTCTGAACTGTGGAGACAGTGGCAGCTCAGGGCAGAGGGGAGGAATGACAAATGCAACATGACACACACATGATGCAAGCTCCATTCCTTTTCTATACATGTTGTGATGTTGCACGCATGCACAAAAGGGGCAGAGCTCACAGGGCAACAGCACAAATCTGACAATTCTGCCCTCATCACTTTGACAAAAGCAGTGGATCCTGCAAATGTCTCTGTTTGGAGAAATTGGAGGCAGTAGAATTGGGCTTTTTAAAAATAAATAAATAACTTCTATGCTTGTCACATTGGTGCTGACCAGGTTCCAGAAAAGATACTGGTGAAATACATTTGCTTGGAATTCTTTGTTTATGCACATACACCTCAAATGACTCAATCAAGGGGTGGAGTTGAGTGAACAGCAAAAAGGATCACATAGTCAAGTAATTCCCATGGGAATTAGATTTAGATCTAAAAAGACCCACTCTGCACAGGGTTAAACTACTCCATCCAGTCCATCACGTCATAGGAACGCCTAAATCAGATGACTCTTTTGCTTACTTAGTCCTCTAAGAAAAAAGTTGGAGAGAAAGAGTGATAGAAAAGCAGCTTCTCCATTCAAGAACTCACCGCTAAGACCTGGCAGCACAGAACACACCTCCCCAACCCTGATTGGCAGCAGCAGCCAAGTTGTGCCCACTGCTGGGTGACTGGCCAATGGGAAGAGGCAAGTCATGTCATGAGGCCTTGCCAGTGCTGTCCTGGTACAAGAACTCAGGGATGTCAGACACTTCTTAGAGAAAATGAATGGGTCTCTACAGTTCCAAAATGACTTTTTTTTAAACCTGGTTGATATGATTGTGTGCTGCCAGAACATCCCATAAACAGATCTAACTGGTTTAATGGCTGTCTAGGTTAAGTGTGTTGTGGGAATGTGGCCATTTGCTCTCTCTCCCTCCCTCCCTCTCTAGTTCCCAAAAGTTTCATCATTCATCTTGTCTAACCCTGTTATTCTGAAGCTCAAAACAATTGCATTTCCTCCTCCTCCACCACCATTTTGTTGTGTTTTACTCAGCACAGCCCCCTCCCAAACATTTTTAAAATAAACCTGTCTATGTTTTGGTCTGTCTTCCTCATAAAGTGTGGGGAAAGGAACGTGTCCAAGCAAGGCTCCCAGATTATTAAAACTATTGTCAGTGAAACAGCAGCCCAGGGAACCAGATCTGTCAACTCACTTCTATTCCTTCTGCCAGCAGGACAGATAGCTGTCTCTGCCAAGAAATAATCATAATACTGCGTGACCATACAGCAGATTCAAGAAATGTTCGTTTCCTTTATTTCTTAACAACAGGGCTGCAGGTTTTAAAGATAATATAATAGATGGACGGCAGGAGTGGGAAGATGGAAAAATTCAAGCAGCATCAGGGACCAATTTGGAGTGGTGCATCTTTAGATGGATTAGACTCAATATTAAGGCTGGACTGGAAGAACCATCTTCAGATAGAAATCATTTTCCAATGGTGTTCAGTCTGATTTAATAGTGTACTGTATACAAGCTGTGAGATGCAGCCCAACTATTAGAAAAGTTGGAGACTCAGCCTAAGGAAGATATAAAATATCTTGCCATGCTATGGATATACAAAAATATCCTCCATTCCACAAGATGGAATGCAAATTAACCCAGACCCTACAAAATATCCTTCAATTTGAGCTCCTGGTGACTTCATGGACATGTCTGTATTGTTTTCTTGGCAACCTTATGGAAGTGGTTTAACAATGCCTTCTTCTGGGTTTTTCAACTTCCCAGTTTAGTTTACAGCCCTAATATCCCCTGATAGTCTGCCCTCCAAGCCTTAACTAAGATTGACCCAGCTCAACTTCTGTACGCAGAAGAGACAGGCAGATGCTACCCTGATGAGATTACCCAAGACTTCATACACATATCTATCTATTCATCTACATATATTCAAACTGACACTGACAATATCCATCAAAATGGTAACTGAATGCATACACACCCAATAGAACCTTTAGAGATAAGTACATTATAATTATTGCATTTAGAAATAAATGAATAAATAAATAATAGCAAAGGACACTAACACAGGTCAGGATCGATAAAAAGGCATTTGCCTGTACCTACCATGGTGTCAGTGTAGTGCAGAAAGCCTGTGGTGGCTACCATACCAAAAAAAAAGCTCTCATGGTGGGATTTCATCTGAAAACCAAGCAGGATGGAAGGAAGTGGGGAGACGGGGCCAGCTTTCTCCTCAGCTCTGCTCCCCTGCTTGGTCATAATGTCAAGCAGCTGCCATTGCTGTGGCTTGCTCAGTTCTGCTCACTTCTCCATAGCTCATCTGCAGGCTGAGCCCTGCTCTCAACAAACAGAAAACAAAGATGATAAAAAAATATTACAAACAAGATGAGCCTGCAGAAAGCATGTTACAGAGTAGCTGAAGTATGCAGCTTCCACGCAGAACGGTTGCATGCAAGAGGCTGCCCTCCCAAAAGTGGGCATGGGAATGACCAAAGATAAATGTGACTTCATAGCATTAACATTTAAATGTAAATTAATATAGTGGATATGTTTGCTCCCCAATCATGTATTTAATAATGGTTCCCTTCTGTCACTTTGGCAGTTAGGTTTTGATAGCAACTTGTTGAAGCCTCTGGGCAGTGCATCTGTAATGCTTTGTGGAGAGAGTACATACAGTCCTGGAGCTTCAGATTAACTTCTTCAATATGGGACACTTTTATTCATGGCTGGCTGCTCCCTGCCCACTGTCAGGATATTCCATTTCATTTCTCCACTTAGCATACTGTCTTCATTACTTTATTTGTAGAAGAGGTTCATTTCTAATAAGATTTCCTAAACATCTGCAAACTTTGCACCATTTCTGAAATCTGCTGATCTGGTCTGTGATATTGCCCTTAGAATGTTTTGTATTCCATATTTTGGAATATCAGATCATGAAAGGCATTTCAGAGAACACCACTGACTGTAGTCAGGCCTTTTTTCCTGTAGTACAAGTTGGGGAGCCATTTTGAAAAATCAGCTATCTGGATTTTTAAAAAATAAATTTGAACAAGGTTTCTATATAATAATTTCAAAATTGGGTACATTTAGAAATAATTTTCATAACTGAAATCTGAACATTAGTAAGGAAGATGGAAACCAGGCATCCTTGATGCTTGTTCTGTCAGCTATCCAAGTTAGCAGTTGATCAGCAACTTCACAGCCCCTGAGTTTTCTTTTCATGCTTTTTTTTTTTACCTTTAAAGTTGACTTGAAGTGAATGTCCCTTCAAACAAAGGGTGCCTCCAGAGATCAGTTCTGTGATCATCCTAAACAGATAACAATCCTTTGGAATGTAGGAAATGGTTCTCTTAACTAAAATATCTTACAATGTACCCAATAGACTGTTTTTCCTTCATCATAATGTTGGACTTTGCTGGAATATTTATTGGATTTATATCCTGCCTTTTTACTCTGGTGAATACTGAAGATGACTGTAATCTTCTATACTCACCAGTTCTGAGACAAGCAAGCCCTTAGGGAGGTTAATCTTCCTTAATGCCAGGATCTCTAAATCTCTGAAGTTGGTTGATGACTGATCTTGGCCAAATTCCACAGAGTGAAATTCACAGAAAAGATTGGATGCTCCACAAAGCTTACAAATCCAGGCACGTTACTTGGTTTCCCAGTTTTGCCCTCCAATCAGCACCAACATAGGGAACTCAGGAAGGGAACATAGTTCAAGCATTCTCAGCCCATCCATGGTTTCCATGACTAATTCTGCATTTGGGGACCCATTTTAATACTCTATAAATATTCATAACCTTTCAGCTATTGAAAAGGATACTGGCTCCCACATTCACTTGCTAGAAATGAAGAGAGAGAGAGAAAAGGACAGAAAAATTCTAGAAACTACAGAAGAAATGGGAAAGGTCCCATCTCTTTAGTGACACTTTGTTCCTTTAGATCAGTGTTTCTCAGCCTTAGCAACTTTCAGATGTGTGGACTTCAATTCCTAGAATTCCCCAGCCAGCATTAAACATTGCTACCTGCTGTAAGTTTGGGATATTCCTTGTATGGTGAGAATGAGTATTGTGCAGAGGACTCTGAATTTAGTTTGCACAGTGCTGTTGTCGTTTTTGTTGGTTGAGTTTTGCCCCATCTATTAGGGTATGGATCCAGCCACCAGGAGACCCATCCTCTCAGAAGTTTCCTTCATGGGAATAGAGCCTTGAAGCTGAAGAAAGATTCCGCATCCAGTCTTCTGTGAAAAGTAGGTATCTGATTCCTCACTCATATTTAAGAAAATGTCTACTTTGCACAGCTGCAAAAGTCCTGTTATGAATTTAATATCACTTAAATTACCACTATTTGAACTCAAGAAAGATCAGATGCAGCAGACTTAACAGGAAAGCTGACACCTACCTATCCTGTAGCTGTTCATATCTTCCAGAAAAATCCCCCTTAAGCTTCAAAGAATTTGCAAAATCATACTTCCCTTAAATAGACACTAAAAAGGGGGGCTCAGAGTATACCACTGCATAGTATATATTCAGTTGCCAAGATTACATCCTGAAACTTTTCTTTTTCAAAACTTGTCATTCATAACACTGTAGTTCATGAATATATCACTGTATTAAAAGGGAGCAAGGGGAAACCTGGGTGATTATTCATTCATTTCAGAAAAGATACTGTGGGCATTTCAGTATGGAAGCAAGAGCTTCCCCAAAGCAACCAAAGTCACTCTGTATCACACAGTGTATCAGAGGAGCATATTCCATAGACATTCTCTCCTCTGGCTAAATTTGAATTTGAATTTGAAGCTCCATCCTTTGCCTCATGAAACCACTGCAGCCCTGTTTTTTCCCTACATATTAATCTACAATTTTCTACAATAGATCTACAATGCATTTTGGGAAAAATGGGAATTCTAGTTGGAGGGCATTGAAAAAGGGAAGGTTAGTCTGGTATTCGTGGGGTGTCCATACCAGATAGCAGATCCCATGTGCCCCTTTTCCTCAACACAAGGCATCATCCTCTCAGTCTAACTAGCTGGAAAGCTGTATCAGGCACGTTAGAGAAAATCTTCCATTAAACAAATTTATCACCTCATGTATTGCTTTTATAGATAAGACTGTTCTCTGAAATATTGTTGGCTGCTATGAGCATTCAACTCTAAGTGTGCAATGGAAACAGAACTCAATACATGAATGGATTTTTTAAGCTATTGCCCCTTCCCAGAAAACCTATGAGGTCATTTTAAGCAGATGTAGAAAAATACAACAAATGGGTTGCAACCAAGGAATTGTGACAAAACTGGTCTTTAGTCAGAAAAACAAGAGCCATAGTGTGCTTCACCAGTGAATGGACAAAAGCATGCAAAACGTGGCAAAACAAACCTTAAGAGTGCACACTAAAAGGAAGCTACAATAGAAATTTGAAAATAAATATGCTATCTTTAGGCATCTTCCAGTTTATTTTGTAGGTAAATGACAAAAAGCAGGCATTTTTTGAGAATAGTGCTTCTCTAATTGCCAGGCAAAACATACCAGCTGAACCATTTCCACGCATAAATACATTGTCTCTGCAGTTGTTTTCTTGAAGAAGTGGAAGGGGCATTGAAAGGCAAATAAAATGTAAGGCATAATCCAGCTTTCTCCACCTGGTGCCTTCCAGATGTGTTGGACTTCAACTCTCATAACTGACCAAGTTGGCAGGAAATAGGAGCTAAGCTCAATGTGTCTGGAAGTCACTATCTGTGGAGGATGAATCATATTCTTCTCTTAGGTTTTACACAGTTCAAGAACATGAATACTTGCCCAAAAGGCCTCATTACAGAGTAAAGGCTTTTGACTGGGCCAGTTCTACCATTAGGCACAAAGTGACCGCCATCTCAGACCATAGGTAGTGAGGGACAGCAACTTCTAAGCTAGCTTGCTACTTGCAGAGATCGCAGAGAGTGTTCCTCCATCACTTGCAGAAATGAAAGACATTCAGATTGCTATATCCCACTCCAGAATTAATGTTTAATATTTAAAAGCTGTTTAATTGAAAACTAGATAAAATCATAAAACATTAGGAGAAGAGAGATGGCTTGTTTCATGATTGAACCAACGAAATGTTTTGGCCATGCCTGATCCTTCAATATCTACAATTCACTCATTTTCAATTTATCTGTCCAAAATGAAGCCTAGATCTATTGGTTGTGCCCATCTAATATTCCCTTGGCAGAACAGCCACCAAACTGGTGAATTAACTACATCATTTATTTGGGATAGACCACCACAATCTCATGTGGGATCATGCTTTAACATTCTGTAGTTCATTTTTATTATTCTACATCTTGATTCTTGTTGTTACATTTGATAATACTTTTACCACTAAAATAATTATTTTTCAGAAGAAGCTACTTAGTGCCTGTTACTTTCCAATTTGGTAAAATGTATGTTCATCAGAGTATAAAATTACGAAGCCATGCATTTTCCTCTTCTTTTCTACTGAAAATGTTCCACTTCCATGATAGCATCCACATAAACAATGGGGATAAAATCAGTCTGAATAATGTTACTGTTCATCTGTATCAGTATACATCACTAACATTCCCACAAGGGCTAACACATGATTCCAAGACTAAAAAGCTCAGCTGTCAGCAGTGATCTGGGCAGGATTCAGAAGAAGAGACATTTGGAAATCCTGACAAGCCCATTGGTTCAGTTGATGAAGGCAATTAAACCCAGATCTTGTCCTCAGGGCTAGAACCACTAGGTCAACTAAGGAGTACTTTTGCTGCTCCTCTCTGGGCTTTCCCTGTCTTCCCACCTTAACCTGTTGATAATAAAAGCCCCCCTGGCTAGATTCTATAAACAGCAACAGAATCCAAAGGATTACCTCTAAACTTCTTTTCATTCCAGGTTGAGATCAATTGGCCTCCAGAACGGTCTGCTCAAGGTTATCAGCTTGGAGCTGTCCAAGGTCCTATATTCCTGGCCAAATCTATCTGTCACTAATGAATTTACAGCCAGGACAGTCCCCACTTCCAACCTGTTCTTACCCTATAGGTAATTCCTTAATGCCAGAGGTCTTAAGTTTCCCTCACTGATTTCCAGCTGTTTGCTTGTTTGTTTGTTTTAATACAAAAATGCAATCAAAATCGATAAGACTTTTACTATACTCCTACATAGATCCTGACAGCAATTTAGTATAAGCACATATTCATTATCCTTCTCACTCAGCAATGAATGAACAATGTTGGCCTTTGTCACACATATTCATTGCACAATGCATTTCTTAGAAGCCATTGATTCTGTTCACATATTTCACTCCAACCTATTGATCTGATTAGTCTCTGTAATTTG